ACGGCTCGTCACCCCACGGAAGAGAGGGGCAGGGGCAGCAGAGCTCATTAGCATTTAAAGAGACATGCACTGAAACGGGTCGCTGTGAACAGAGCTGTTTTTGACAGGGTAAAAAGGTGTTGTTTTACACTACCATTGAGAATTTTAACCAAAGTATGTTATAGACTTTTCATGAAGACCCTAAAGGATCATACCAACTTGTGGAAAATGGGCATCTGATGTCCCCTTTAAATACATTTGTACTGTTTATATGGATTAATCCCATGTTCACTGATTCATTCCCAATGATTCAGTCCTTCAGTCCATATTAGAGAAAGAGATGCTCCACATTAATAAGCATAAAATAAGATATATTTGTATGGATGCAGCACATGAGAGTCTAATTGTTGGCAACGACGTGCCAAACAGTTTAATACCCTGAAATGTACTGTGGTGTGTAGTGTTGTTTTTGGCGGCCTGTTTTAATTTTAGTTTTAGTCTAGTCTTTGTGTGAAGCTGTCATTTTAGTTTTTATTAGTTTTAGTCACGTTCATACTCTTTTTAGTCTAGTCAAGTTTTAGTCAACTAAAAGTCTGAGCATTTTAGTCTTATTTTAGTCAGAATTATCCATGACTATTTTCGTCTAGTTTTAGTCGACGAAAACTGATGACATTTAGTCTAGTTTTAGTCAATGAAAATTGTATTTTAGTCTCATTTTAGAAATACAATTCTATTTAACCCAGTCAATATAGTATAAGTACCTAGTAGTATAGACGAAACCAAAATTTTCTTTTAGCCAAACCCATTTCAAACAAGGTTATCTTATTATATTATTGTTACCTTATAGACTCAAGAATACATCCATTCCAGACACGGAAGACGCTCTGATTTGAATTTACAACATTTATTTTACCAACCAAACATGTTAGAAGTACACACACATAAATTTAAATAAAGACGAACCCCGGCTGGCCGGCCATCGGTCCCTTTCTCTCGATATTTAGTCATAATTTTCGTTGACGAAAGCAACACTAGTGGTGTGATCTAAAAACACACTGTATTTTCAATTGTATTATAAGTATTTTGCATGCAGTCTTCATGAGCTCATATAAACAGAGACTTTGTGGAATATTTGTATTTTTAAAAAAAATTTTGTCTCACTGCAAGACCTTTAAAAATGAACTAGTGACGGCAAAAAAAAGCAGCCATGTTCATTTGTCAAATACCCAAAGACAACTAAATGTGAGCAGACCTTCATGACGCCCTGCTGTATGAGAGGAGAAGAGTGGTTGACCAGAACGAGAAGAGCCTCCGGCTGGACGAGTTTGTCCATCACCTCCTCCAGCAGGAGGTCCGGCAGCAGCAGCAGAACTCCTCTCAGCAGATCGTACAGACCGCAGCAGATCAGAACCAGACAGTCTTCAGCACTGGATCTGAATGATTCAGAAAACACACACATGAATCATCACTGTGAAGATGAGAAACATCAGATCTTCAGCTGTGACTCAGAGCCTGTTAACCAAAACTTTCAGCATGCAAAATACACACGAATCTGTCACAAAAATAACTACAATGTTCCCATAACAGAAATTACTCATACTGTGATATCAGTACAAACAAAAGGGAAATCAATATTTGATAGACTTGGATATAAAAGCAAAGTGTTTCCCAACAAGAGCACCAATGACAGCTCAGACACATCTGTAATGCCGAAATATGGTTTGTGGATAGGAGCTCGGAGTTTAAAGTCGTTAACATTTAATGAGTTTAAGTGATTATACAGTAGATGGGATATATCTTTAGTGCAGGAAAGGCAATGACGAAGACAGGAGGCAATTACCCAGTAACTGTTGACTGAAAGAGCACATTAAAGAGATGATGTAACTTATAAATGAAGGCTAATATTACAAGTCATTCATCTCCAAAACTCAGTGGCAGAAATTTGCATAATTAAAGAGTGTTATTCATCGCACAGAATTTAAAAGATATATTACGCACATCTAGAACAACTAAACACATTATACAACGCATTTGAAAAAGGCTAAACGCTTCTGAGGTGTTTCAATTTGCTCCCTAGTTCAGTAGTAAGCACACTACCTAGGGACTCTACCATTTCTAAAGGTGTCCTATTGTCAAAATGTTTTTTCTTACTGAAGACAGTTCCGTACAAAAAAGTATACTTGCATAAAATATTTTGCATGATTTCACTGTAAATGCCAACTTGTTACAGATACTTGTTACACTAACTTAGAAAGCATTACAAACCATTTACAAGGCTTAAAAAAAATTAACTTTGCAGAAATGTCAGCCACTGCAGTTTTTCATTAAAGCATAACAGGGTTATTATCGTTAACAGAAACTACAAACAACAACAAAACAACTTTTCGTTACTTGAAATAAAACAAATTAACTTAAATAACATTAACTGAAATAAAAAAAAAATGTTAAAAAGTATTTTATTTCAGCTAGTTGCCAAGGCAACATTTCTCATTTTCTTTAAATAAACTAAAATGAATGAATGAAAATAAATAAATTAATAATAGTAATACTATTTATAATAATTTTAATTATTAAAATACTATATTAATATTGATAATATTAGGCTGTGTGTCCACCAAAGGGTTTTTTCCCCGAGGCTAGCATATTTTTTCAATTGTTTTTAATGGGAGCGCCGCGTTGCTTAAAACGCCAGGTGTGTGCTGAACGCTGAGCGTCTTTTTGATTCATCAACTCTCGGCGCCAAGAAAAAAATGCCCGAGGGCTCAGCGTGAAAAAGATGCTCAGCACTCGGGTGTTTTTTTCTTGGCGCCGTGAATTGATGAATGTTCAACTTTGGGTAAAACACAGCGCTCATCACTGTCACTTTTTATTCAGCTAACCAATCGCAGTGAAGGAGGGGCGGGACTAATAACGACCAACTGTCACGCCCTGCTTGTACTACAACTGAAGTTAATATTGCTTGTCACCGAGTATTTATGCCTTTACCAGATTAAATTGCCGGACTATCATATTATTGTTATGAAAAATAATGCTTGGAGAAACATTTAATTCACGATGCGTCTGCCATATTACTTCAGCGGATATTCCTTATCTTAGCAACCACAGCGTCTCAACTGAAAAAAAAACCCAAAAAAACGGTGCGCTCTCAAGCGCTCACAGCCTGGGGTTTTCAGCTGGCTAAAAACGCTTTGGTGGACACGCAGCCTTAATATAACAGATAAATTAAAATCTATACTATATTAATAACAATAATACTATATAGTCATTTAAAAAAAAAAAAAGACAAAAACACAGCAAATTTTCTAAAACTTCAATTAAGGCTAAAATGAAAACAGAAAAGAGAAAAATAAAATCTAATTCAAAAATATTAGATTCAGACAAAAACTACAATAGCATATCAATGATGCTAAAATAACACTAATGTAGGGCTGTGCAAATAATCAAATGCGATTATCATGCGCATCTCGTCAGTAAAGACGGTTCTGTGATTAGTAGTAAATCTCCATCACGTGCTTTCAGATGTAGCGGCATTTAACACACAGAGCCGCAATATCGCGTTCATTATTGCAGGCGATACATCGCTGATAATAGGGATGCACGATATTATCGGACCAATATCGGAATCGGCCGATAATGGCTTTTAATGTAAATATCGGTATCAGCACGATATGAAAAATTAAGCCGGTATGTCTTGCCGATAAGAGGAATACATTAACTCACATGTGCTCAGGGTGTGCTAGCGATTACATCACGTCAACAGTGTGGCTCATTCTTGAAGCAAAGTTTTGCCTGAATGATGATTAGATTCACTGTTTTGGATCGCTGCATTTAAACTGAGAATGCATGTACAGAATGACGCGTTCGGTGTGTGATATGGTAAACAGTAATAGCATGTGCAGCGGGAGCAGCGGCAGCCTCCCCCGGGTCCTAATGCCCGTTCTGTAAGGAGTTTTAATTCCATAAGGGGCGCTGTAGTCCTACTTCTAATAAGATGAAAGCAAAATACACAAATAATTATTAGACTGTTTATGATTAAATAAAGCAGTAATTGATTCCATAAAATCATGAGTGTTTTGATTTAAAGGTCAGAAGCTATAGCTTACATGAACAACAACAACATCAAAAAATTAAAAATCACAAACATGACACTTAAATTAAATAATTGTATATATACTGATTTATTCATTAATGTGTAATATTTTTAAAACAAATTATGAGCTCTAAAAGATTTTCAGAATAAAACAGCTCTTTTGCTTTAGACCATTTACAAATGTTAAATCTTAAAATAAAATGTTAAGGTTACCACTGCATCTTTCAGAAAAAAAAAATGCAGTGACTGAATATAGTTTATTTATAGTTATTTTCAAATCTTCAATGTACTGTCATTATAAAATAACTTTATTATTGTTTATTTAATTAAGTTCTTGTTAAAAACTAACCAAGATTAAAAATAATTTGTTTATAATTTCTGCACAGGAGAGACTTGGTGTTGTTTCCAAACAAAAAGAAATATATCGGTATCGGCTATCGTCCAAAATGAGTTATATGGGGATATATGAGGATATCGGCAAAAATCCAATATCGTGCATCCCTAGCCGATAATGAACACGATACTGCGTAGCTTGTCAGTGAACTACGGCTCTGTGTATTATTTGCACAGCCTTACACTAAAGTGAAATAATTTGGCCTGAAGTAGGCCTATTATCACGACAATATGAATATATAAAATACAGTATATATATTTTGGTTAATGACGACTTTTCTCATGTGGCTTGACCATAATTACTAATTACATTATGAGACATTTTCTGTTAATCAAAATGTCATAGCTGGATCTTCCAGTGAAAAATCAGACTTCTCAAATTATTTACTGCGTTTAAACTCCGCCTCTGCAGGTTCACACTCATCTGCATACACGTTTGAATGCCACGCCCACATCTCAACATCCAATCAACAAACGATGCACAGAACCGAGGCCCTGTCCTACATTTTTCTTTCTCGATAATCCGTTTCACTCGGCTGTACTTTAGTTTTATCGTGTTTACAATGTTGGATGCAATTTTTCTCTCTTTGCATGGAAATGCTAGGATTTCCAACAATATAAAATCATCTGGTATTTTCAGAGTACCTGTCATTACTGGAGTCCGCCTTGCTGTGTCTGTCATACCCGGGTGAGTAGGTGTAACTTTCCCAGTCGTCCGGTGGAGCGGCACGGTCAGCCACGGTGGGCCAGCGAGCAATAGTCAGAGAGCCGTTCTGTGCGGGAAAAGCCAAACCCAGACTGGCCAGGTTACTGTGGCTCCTCTGGAAGGACTGGATTCCCTTCAGGCTGTCCGGTCGGCGTGGCGCTTCCTCGCTGGTCCAATTGAAATGGTCCTCAGAGTCCACCGGGCTGCCCGCTGGGCCGTCATGCTCCTCCTCTACGCTGATGGAGGGCGTTCGGTTTCCCGTGACGCTGCTCTCCTCATCACCGCCCACGTTCTGAGAGTCACATATTGTCTTTGCCGACTCACAGCTGCTGAGGAGCTGCTCGTCTCCGGCCCGCTTCAGGGTCTCCGTGCTGCCCAGGGCATGCTGGGTACTCAGGGATGTCCCCTCAGGCTCAGTGGTCCCCATCACACTCCCATGGGTCAGACGGGGTGTCAGGGCCGGAGAAGAGTGCGGAGACGGGCCAATGCTTGGGGGCCGCAGTGACAGATCTTCATCACCATGCTCAAGGGAGGAAGTGTAGCGCACTGTGGGACAAACAAACAACATTTAGTCAGAAACTACGTTTTCAAGACAAGTTTGACAATGATAAGTTTTTCATGCTCAGATTTGCCTCTTCAATTGCTCTTTTTTCACAAAGCGTGATCTCTTTTTTTCTCTGCTGCACGTTTTTTATATCATTGCCAAACATTAAATATATTATTGCCCAGTTCTTTATGAAACAAAATGCAAAATGTAACTATATTAATCACACAGCTCTACAGTATACAGCAGGTAAAATAAGTATTGAACACGTCACCATTTTTCTCAGTAAATACATTTCTAAAGGTGCTGTTGATATGAAATTTTCACCAGATGTCGATAACAACCCAAGTAATCCACACATACAAAGAAAACAAAACAAAAACGCCTCCTGTATGGAAAAACTAGTCGCATGCATTGCTCAGGAGTGATTTTGGCCCATTCTTCCACACAAACTCTTCAAATCTTGAAGGTTCTGTGGGCCTCTTCTATGAACTCTGATCTTTAGTTCTTATTTTCTATTGGATTCAAGTCAGGTGATTGGCTGGCCATTCTAGCAGCTTTATTTTCTTTCTCTGAAACCAATAGAGAGTTTCCTTGGCTGTGTTTGGGACCCTCATTTCATCTTCATCATCCTGGTACTGTAGGTGTTGGGACTGAACCATCTGAACTTGTTTGTTTTGTTTTCTTTGTATGTATGGATTACAGCACCTTTAGAAATATATTTACTGAGAAAAATGGTGATGTGTTCAATACTTATTTTACCCGCTGTATATATATATATATATATATATATATATATAAAGCTATATATATATTATATCCAACTTTATTAAGTATTACATATTATTATTAGACCATAGATTGAGAGGAAAGAGTGCTTAGAAACAGGTTTATTATTTTTATAATGTAAAAAAAACAACTGCCAATTCAAATTCATCTTCAGAACATGATGATGAAACATTTTAACTTGCAATTTTATAAAATAAAAGGAACATCATATTAAGTAAATATTAAGAAAATGTTAAACAAAATTAAGGATGAATGATGTTTGAGAGGCAACATCTTATTCTTACCAATAGTAATAAAATAATTTTACATACAATTTAATAATATTAATACAAGCTATTTATCTTTAAAGGGGTCATATGATGTTGCTAAAAAGAACATTATTTGGTGTATTTGGTGTAATGAAATGTGTTTATGCGGTTTAAGGTTCAAAAAACACATTATTTTCCACATACTGTACATTATTGTTTCTCCTCTATGCCCCGCTTGAAATCGCATCATATGACCCCTTTAAAGAGTAACGGCGCATTGACGGGAGCAACACTGCGCTGCATGTAAGTTAATTTTGTCATGTGACACCACATTTATTTGCATTAAAGCCCCTTTTCTTGACAATAAGTGTTCCCAAACTAGTTTTTGCAACATTTTAAGTATCAACATAGAATTTAGGCACTAAAGTTAAAGACTTGAGAAACTGCACCAATAAATGCCATTTCCATCAGTTATATTGGTAAAAACTGATGGGCTAAACCCAAAAAAATCCTTGGATGGAAGCCTGGCTTATAAGGCATAAAGATATTAAGATAATATAAACATTATAATCATGATTTTCTCTAAAGCTGCTTTCAGATGAAGTATATTGTGAAGACCGCTATATACTGTAATATTTGACTTGACAGGCAGATCTGTGATGTAATTGATTTGTATTCATTAAAGGTCACGCGTTTCAAAACTTAACAAGGCGCAGCAGTGGCAAACAGTCAGACAAGGACATTTCCAGTGAATAATGCTTATAAAGTGCGACAGAATGAGTAAGCATGATTTTTATCTTTATTTTGACCTTCTCATGAATAACCGCATTATCCTCAGCGGACGGCCGGGAGTTAATGATTGTAAGTCTGCTGCTTTAATGTGACTGGAGGTGGCACTGACCTCGGGGCGGCAGTGATGCGTTACCTTCGGCGGGCGTCTCTGTGAAGACGGAGGGAGAGAGTGAAAGCACAGAGCTGCAGGCTGATTTCCCTCCACTGCTGGAGTGCCGCAGGTACATCATGGACTGAACCTTCTCCTGGTACAGCTTACCATCTGATGAGAAAAAAAACATGAACTAAAATGCTCTTGTTTACTGTCAAATCTACATCTCAGTACGATAACTAACAAAGAAGAATGAGCTGTAAACTCAATGCCAGACTACTGCAACAATAAAATGAAATCAGTTTAACCTGCTTAGTTTTCAGAAATCTCTTAACATAAACGTGTTCTTCACATTTTTTTCTTTCGACTATCAGAATAATATCAGCATTGCTAAAAAAGCTTATAAATACGGTTAGAAACAATATCTGATTTAAATTAGAATGCCAGAAATGTCATGAGTTTGATACAATCTTTATATATAATGAACAAAATTTAGGGCAAAAAATATATATATAATACATAAAAAATAATAATAATTAAAAAAAAAAAAGAATCACACAAACATCAGGGTTATTAAAAACTATAACAGCAAAAACTATAAAATAAAACTGAGATAAATATATAATTATATACAGATATTATGTGTGTGTCTGTGTGTGTGTGCGCGTGTTTTGTTATAATTTTATACTATTAAATAAAGAAATGTATAAATAAAAGAAAACATTAACTGATTAAACAGCTTTAATGACTAAAAAGGAAAAAAAATAGTTTTTGGTTTTCATTTTTAGTAACTCGCAATCCATGTACAGTAGATATGCTATTTATTAGCCATTTAAGAAAAACAGACAAATTAAGGTTAAAAAAATATTTTTTCTGTTTTAAAACCAGTGTCATTTTTCTTCTTCTGTGGATCAAGGAGGCAAAAGCAGTGTGAACATTCTGCTAAACATCTTTTTTTGTATTCCACAGAAGAAATGAAGTCATACAGGTTTGGAAAAATGCAAATGATGACAGAATGATCATAAACTATTGCTTTAATGACTCGATCAGACACCGGTTTTCTGAAGGTTTGCTCACCGATGTGCAGAGAGAAGTAGAAGCTGGTGGGCGTGTGGCACACGTAAGTGTTGGTGGGGGGGTGAACGGCCAACAGGAAATTATAGACCAGCCGCAGCAGGTCCAGGTCCGGAGGAGACCCCAGAACCTCCTGGATGATTTTGACAAACGAGAGGCAGACCTCCTGCGGGATGGAGGTCAGGTACTCGTCTCGATGCTCCTGTATAAGTAATGATGAAGATGATGTTACAAAATGACCCACACACTGAACTATGATTGGTCGTCGTTCCTGCATTCTTTTCTTTCAGCATACCTTCAAGTGTTCGTTCATGTTTATTTCATGCAGTAACTAGTAGTAAAGAGAAGATTGGTTAACGTACCGCTTGCTGGTGCGGCTACAGTAATGTCACGCAACAATAAAGAGCATCAAAACCGCATTTATTGTTCGAATTTCTTTATTTAAAAAAAAATAGCAGAATTTGAAAACTGAGACTTTGTTTCATATTAAAAATAACAAAGCTTATTGCAATAACTGGATGGTAGGAACACCAAAACTGTTTCGACCAAAACTGAAAATTAATTTCCGGTTGAATATTTTCAGATGCCAAAATTTTGGTGCATCACCAGTTGATTCTCATGGACAGCTGACAGAAAACAAGACTCACGACCACATTTCAAAGACTACAATCTAAACTCATCAGACATCATGTTTGTGCATGTAGTGAACGTCTCACCTGAAGCACCTGGCAGGCGAGCAGGAAGCGATGAACCACCTGGGCCTTGAGGAGCTGTCGAATGTTGAACATCTGCTGAGGGTGATGCACCCGGATGAGGATCTCTAAAGCAGTCAGCAGCATCTCCCACACGCCACACTATACACACACATACAGCTGTCACAGTTAGTTCTCTATAAAAATAACCCAACTTATACAATATATGTTCTCATTCAAATGAGAGCGTGTACCTGCGCTTTGGCCCATATCTTCCAGTCCAGCAGTATTTCAGACAGCAGTCTGAGATCTTGCAGCACCACAGTGGTTTCAGCATCCAGATGAAACTGTCCGTCTTCTCCGATCGTCAGGATTGACCCGCTGCAGCAGCCGTCCAACAGCATCTGTTACACCATATGCACACAGACACATATTTGCCGTGCTGTACCCTAAAATCAAACTCCAGTAGTATTCAAAAGGCTAAAACAGAGTGAGTATTTTTCAGACTGATTAATCTGATGCATTTAAGAAAACAAGAATATACTGAGAGGGACAAAGCAGTCTCACTGTAAGTCTCCATTACCGGTAACAACCAGCAGGGTGCACTGTTTAGTACAACAGCAGCACAAGCACACAGGTTTATTACTGTTAACTAAAACTAAATCCATAAAAAACAATGTCAGCTGAAATTTAAAAAAAAAAAGTTAACCAAAATAAATAATTATTAAATAAATGTAATTAAGTTAATTAAATATTAAAAAACACATTTTATTTCAGTACTACAATAAAATGAAGTACTAAAAATGTAATACTAAAATAAAATAAAATTAAAACAAACTAAAAATAATAAGCAAACATTAATACAAACTATACAGACATTTAAGGAATAAAAATGACAAACATACAACAAAATTACTAAAACTTTAGAAAAATTAAAGTGAAAAACAAAATATAAAAAAATATATAAGTTAACTAAAATAAAATATTTAAAAAATAATACTGTTTTAGTTAGTTGCCACGGCAACATTTCTCATTTTTATTTTACATTTAAGAACTGATTTAACATTAAAATTAATAAATAAAAATGTATGAAATTATATAGGCATTTTTTTTTTTTAAATGACAAAAACAAACAAAAAACACAGCAAAACCACTAAAACTTTCAAATAAAACTAAATAAATAAATAAAATAAAAAAATATATAATTGAAAATGTTTACAAAAACTATAATGGTATTTCAATGATACTAAAATACTGGAACTGGTGATATACAGGTGCATCTAAAAAAATTAGAATATCATGGAAAAGTTATTTTCCACAAGGAGCGTAAGCCACAGAAGGTCATTGCTGAAAGGGCTGGCTGTTCACAGAGTGCTGTATCGAAATATATTCATAGAAAGTTGACTGGAAGGAAAAAGTGTGGTAGGAATAGGTGCACAAGCAACAGGGATGACCGCAGCCTTGGGAAGATTGTCAGGAAAAGCCGATTCAAGAACTTGGGAGAGCTTCACAAGGAGTAGACTGAAGGTCTGCAGTGCATCAAGAGTCACCACGCTCAAACGTCTTCAGGAAAAGGGCTACAGCGGTCACATTCCTTGAACTAAGCCACTCCTGAACCAGAAACAACGTCAGAAGCGTCTCACCTGGGCTAAGGAGAAAAAGAACTGGACTGCTGCTCAGTGCTCCACAGTCCTCTTTTCAGATGAAAGTAAATTTTGCATTTCATTTGGAAATCAAGGTCCCAGAGTCTGGAGGAAAAGTGGAGAGGCACAGAATCCAAGCTGCTTGAAGTCCAGTGTGAAGTTTCCAGTCAGTGATGATTTGGGTGCCGTGACGTCTGCTGGTGTTGGTCCACTGTGTTACAGCCGTCTACCAGGAGAGTTTAGAGTACTTCATGCTTGCTTCTGCTGACAAGCTTTTTGGAGATGCTGATTTCATTTTGCAGCAGGACTTAGCACCTGCCCACAGTGACAAAACTCCTTCTAACTGGTTTGCTGACCATGATTATTACTGTGCTTGATTGGCCAGCCAACTCGCCTGACCTGAACCCCATAGAGAATCTATTAGGGGTATTGTCAAGAGGAAGGTAAGTAACATACGACCAAACAACACAGACGAGATGAAGGCCACTATCAATAACGCCTCAGCAGTGCCACAGGCTGATCGTCTCCATGCCACGCCGCATTGAAGCAGTAATTCGTGCAAAACGAGCCCCAACCAAGTATTGAGTGCAGAATTAAACCTACTTTGGAGATCTTGAACATTTCTGTTTTGTAAATCTTTTTTTGATTGATCTTTCAGAAAATATTCAAATTTTTTGAGGTATTGAATTTTTAAGCTGTAAGTCGTAACCATCAGAATTAAAACAAAAAAGCTTGAAATATTCCAGTTTGTGTGCAATGAATCTAGAACATAAGAAAGTTTGCTTTTTTTAATTAAATTACAAAAAGTAAAGAACTTTTCCATGATATATCAATTTTTTGAGATACTGAATTTTTAATTTTCCTAAGCTGTAAGTCGTAACCATCAGAATTAAAACAAAAAAACTCTTGAAATATTTCAGTTTGTGTGCAATGAATCTAGAATATAAGGACATTTGCTTTTTTTGAATTAAATTACAAAAAATAAAGAACTTTTCCATGATATTCTAATTTTTTGAGATGCACCTAGTTGGAAAAAAAACAAACATGATATATAATATGCATCTAAATTTTTACATTTAAAATTTTTAGGAATCTTTGACAAACTAAAATCTGATAGGCTAAAACTCACCTTCAGAATGTGGTATCCCACAATGCACTTAGGCTTGATGAGAACCTGGTGAATCATGGAATAGCCGTGGTAACACTCCATCTCATGAGTGCGATGCTGGTTGTTCTTAACCAGAGACAGCAGCAGCTGCAGCGCCAGAGCTTGAGTTTTCTCACAGTCGCTCAACTCCACCGCCTACGAGAACCAACAGACAGACAGACAGAAAGAGATAGCGCAACGTGATTCAGTGTTCCTGCTGCTAAAATCACTGTATGTGTGAAATACATCACATAGTGAAAATGAAGTGGGCTGTGAATGTGTTTTCATGCTGACAATCTGGATCACAGTGTTATAACACACAGAACACAGGAAACCTCAGCAAACAACACTTGATTAATAGTACTGCCTGCAAAACAAACATGATGTGCGCCAAAATACCTAAACTAAACTAGATCCATCTGCACTAAATTATTTAATCATTTAATAAATGTCAGCTATTTGGCATCATACCCAAAGTAGAGCATCTGAAGCTATTTTAATTAGCACTGCTCCTCAATTATTCCTTTTTTTTTTTTGTCTCACTCAGCATGGTTCACCCTTGTAAACTTGTAGCTGCTTTTCAACATACATGGTTTAGAAATGCCAATCATTTTTCTAATTTTGCCCACTGAATGAACAGTGTATTATCAGATTACCAGCAAAAAAAAATGTGTACTGGAATATGAAGGAAAGACTGAAGATACCTTCACTAGAGACTTTAAAACCTAATATTCAGATTTACTTTCAAACATTATGGCTTTGATTAAAAAGCACAGCAAACAGATACAGTCAGAGCTTTTGTGAATCCGCATTCAAAAGTTCACAAAAATGCAGTAAAAATTGCTGTATTTTTTCCATATGATGTTAAAGGGGTCATCGGATGCGACATGCACTTTTACATGTTGTTTGAACTGAAATGTGTGTTGGCAGTGTGACACACTGTAAAAATCCACCCAGTGCTTTATTTTTTTAATCTCGTTAAATCATTTCCCCATTTCTCATATCAAGCCATTCTCAGATGCCTGTCCGTGTGACGTCACACAGACCCAGGCCCCTCCCATGATTGTTGATTGACACTAGCGTTTTACCTTAGACCCTCATTGAGTGAGCTGTCATCAGTCCGCCACTGTTTCACCGCCGGAGCAGATGTAGACAAGAATGGCTCCAAAGTGATTGAGGTGTGTTGTTGTTGGATGTAATAATGAACAAAGCAGTCGTCATCTGAGCCGCTGAAGATGCAGTGATTGTTTTGCATTATGATTGTTTTTGAAGGGAATGCGCCCCCGATCTACCTAAACGAGTCTATGTTTTGCGTGAATCATTCGTGATCCAGCTTCACCTACAGAAGAAGTGAGTACAAGGTTCTTTTATGAATCTTTGCAAATCGCCTTTCCTAATAACGTGCTAGGTAAAGAACTTTTCCATGATATATCAATTTTTTGAGATACTGAATTTTTAATTTTCCTAAGCTGTAAGTCGTAACCATCAGAATTAAAACAAAAAAACTCTTGAAATATTTCAGTTTGTGTGCAATGAATCTAGAATATAAGGACATTTGCTTTTTTTGAATTAAATTACAAAAAATAAAGAACTTTTCCATGATATTCTAATTTTTTGAGATGCACCTAGTTGGAAAAAAAACAAACATGATATATAATATGCATCTAAATTTTTACATTTAAAATTTTTAGGAATCTTTGACAAACTAAAATCTGATAGGCTAAAACTCACCTTCAGAATGTGGTATCCCACAATGCACTTAGGCTTGATGAGAACCTGGTGAATCATGGAATAGCCGTGGTAACACTCCATCTCATGAGTGCGATGCTGGTTGTTCTTAACCAGAGACAGCAGCAGCTGCAGCGCCAGAGCTTGAGTTTTCTCACAGTCGCTCAACTCCACCGCCTACGAGAACCAACAGACAGACAGACAGAAAGAGATAGCGCAACGTGATTCAGTGTTCCTGCTGCTAAAATCACTGTATGTGTGAAATACATCACATAGTGAAAATGAAGTGGGCTGTGAATGTGTTTTCATGCTGACAATCTGGATCACAGTGTTATAACACACAGAACACAGGAAACCTCAGCAAACAACACTTGATTAATAGTACTGCCTGCAAAACAAACATGATGTGCGCCAAAATACCTAAACTAAACTAGATCCATCTGCACTAAATTATTTAATCATTTAATAAATGTCAGCTATTTGGCATCATACCCAAAGTAGAGCATCTGAAGCTATTTTAATTAGCACTGCTCCTCAATTATTCCTTTTTTTTTTTTGTCTCACTCAGCATGGTTCACCCTTGTAAACTTGTAGCTGCTTTTCAACATACATGGTTTAGAAATGCCAATCATTTTTCTAATTTTGCCCACTGAATGAACAGTGTATTATCAGATTACCAGCAAAAAAAAATGTGTACTGGAATATGAAGGAAAGACTGAAGATACCTTCACTAGAGACTTTAAAACCTAATATTCAGATTTACTTTCAAACATTATGGCTTTGATTAAAAAGCACAGCAAACAGATACAGTCAGAGCTTTTGTGAATCCGCATTCAAAAGTTCACAAAAATGCAGTAAAAATTGCTGTATTTTTTCCATATGATGTTAAAGGGGTCATCGGATGCGACATGCACTTTTACATGTTGTTTGAACTGAAATGTGTGTTGGCAGTGTGACACACTGTAAAAATCCACCCAGTGCTTTATTTTTTTAATCTCGTTAAATCATTTCCCCATTTCTCATATCAAGCCATTCTCAGATGCCTGTCCGTGTGACGTCACACAGACCCAGGCCCCTCCCATGATTGTTGATTGACACTAGCGTTTTACCTTAGACCCTCATTGAGTGAGCTGTCATCAGTCCGCCACTGTTTCACCGCCGGAGCAGATGTAGACAAGAATGGCTCCAAAGTGATTGAGGTGTGTTGTTGTTGGATGTAATAATGAACAAAGCAGTCGTCATCTGAGCCGCTGAAGATGCAGTGATTGTTTTGCATTATGATTGTTTTTGAAGGGAATGCGCCCCCGATCTACCTAAACGAGTCTATGTTTTGCGTGAATCATTCGTGATCCAGCTTCACCTACAGAAGAAGTGAGTACAAGGTTCTTTTATGAATCTTTGCAAATCGCCTTTCCTAATAACGTGCTAGTTAGCAAGTTCTGCAGCTAAAGTAAACAGTCTCATGAGAACGGCTCGTCACCACACAGAAGAGAGGGGCGGGGTCAGCAGAGCTCATTAGCATTTAAAGGAAAATGGACTAAAACGGCTTGCTGAAAACAGAGCTGATTTT